ATATATATATATATGAATTAGCTAAACATATATACATATATTTGTAGGAATATCCAATTTAATTTTTATGTTAAAATTTCTAAAATTTTCCCTTTTGCGTATCTATCATAATAGCAATTTAATTATGACTAAATTTTAAATTTAATCTCTATGTTAAAGCTTCTAAAATTTTCCTTTTTGCGTAACTAACATAATAGCAATTGAATAATAATGAAATTTTAAATTTAGGATTCTTAATGTCATTATAGCATGACTTAATAAGAAAATAATAATTCATTATTAAAATCGAGTTTTAAATTTAGGGTTCTTTCTTTCATTTTAACTTTAATTAAGTAGGAAAGAAATAATAAACTTTTGAAACTGAATTTTATACTTGAATTTCTTCTGATGGGTTTTTTTACGAATCTAGTCTTTTCCAAATTTGCCTAAAACAAATGTAAACAAAATTTTAATTTATTTGAAATGTAAATTTTCTGAGAATTAATCTTAATCAATCACAATTAATAATTTAAATTAAATTAACACTAATTAACTTAGCCTTTACTTTTTATTCTTCTACCTTGTCTTAAATAAGTCGAACCGAACAACAAGGCTTAGTTGAGCATTCACGCAAGGCTGCTCCTACACACAAAGCTTTGCATACAAAGCTACCGCGAGCTTTCCTTCTTTTCCCTCCTCTGCGAGCCGCATGGTAGGGCTCCTGCTAGCCCTTCCTCCCTCTCCCAGTTCTCGGTCAAGATTCCTACAAGCTGCACGAGCTCTCCTTCTTCTTCCTTTAAGTCGGGTAAGTAACAGGAGCTGGGTCGAGCCTCACACGAGCCACTCGATCACTTCAGGAAGTCAAACGAGCTTTCCTCTTTCTTCTTCCCCATTTCTTTTACTGTTCACGACACTCGACAGGGCTAGTCGAGCTCTTTGTCAAGCACGATGCGGAAGCAAAGGACGCTTCATGCAAGTTTATCATCTTTTTCTCCTTTTGCTTCTTCCTATACTGCTTCTTCTTCTTTTTCCTTTTCTTCTTATTCCTCTACCCTACACTCTCGCTCTCACTTTTCCCCCGTCTCTCTCACACTCTCCTTCGCTCTCTGTGTGTGTGCGTTGGAATGGAATGAGACGAGAAAAAATCCTCATCTTAACGCTCCCATGAGCGGTGCGATCTCACTCGAACGACACCTGTGTTGTTACCAACGAAGCTCCTCTTTTTTTTTCTATTAATTAATTAACTTTTCAAAATTTTTTAATCGTTTATTGTTACAACTTAGATGGTTTGGTCATATTAAACGTCGACCATTAGATGATCCGATTAGGAGAGTAGATGTTTTAAATTCGACTTGTGTTAAGAAAGGCAGAGGTAGACCTAGGAAGACTTGGGCTTATTGTATTAAAAATGATCTTAATTTACTAGAACTAAATGAAAATATGACACTAAATAGGACGCAATGGAGAAAAAGGATTCATGTAGCCGACCCCACGTAGTGGGATTAAGGCTTTGTTGTTGTTGTTGTTGTTGTTGTATTGAGAGACAATAGAATTTTGTGAGGCTTTCACAAAGGCGCACATTTTTAAAAGTTTA